GAGTTGACATATGGAGAGTCTGGCAGGAATTTGCAGGATGTTGAGTTGACTCCATCTATTCTTCCACGCAATGGTTGCATCTTCGCTTTGTGAGGCATTGTTCTGACCTTTGAACAGGAAGAACAGAAAGGCACTGAGGTTGCAAATAATGAACTTGAACTGAACAAGAATGATAAACACTGACTCAATCCTCTTCCTTACTAGCAGAAGCCGATGGATTTAGGACTAATTCTGGGGAATTTAAGAAGTGATTTACAGTAGCTGTAGCAGCGTGCACAAGATGTACGGTACGGGGAAGCAATATCTGAACTAAGGAAGAATTGACTTGCTTAAAAAAAAATAACAGTTAAAAGTCTGATGAATTAGCTGTATGGAAAATCTTGCAAAAGAGGCCTTAATGCATGCACACAACATGAAATTTTAAAACACTAAGTGGAACCTGGATCTGTTGCAGAATTTAATGTGTAAAGTTTTATTTTTAGTATTTCCATTTTAACCAAGACTCTGACAGCACAGCACATAAACCGCAGAAAACACTGGGCCATTGTAAGCCTCCAAATATCTTTAGGCATGGTTAACATTTTATGATTGCTGCCTTGGAGAAGTGCAAGTAGCTTCAGTACCAGTGAGCCTAAGTGCTTTTGTTATTTGTATCAGTTCAGCAAAGAGGAACCAGTTTTTAGAAGTAGTTCAGGTGAGCTGGGACCCCCCATTGCAACTTTGCATCATCAGACTTCAGGTTGTTAATTGCATTATGCACGGAACATTTAACAACATTCTGTTAACCAAGCAGAAGCCTCTGAAAAGGAAGAAACTGTATTTATTGGCTCTCTGATTCGATTTGTTAAAATAATGATTTTGTAATTAACTAGTCAAGATGGTTTTTCATAAAGTAGATTTTAGGTACTAATTTTAATGTTACCCAGGCTTTGACTGCTATGAAATCATTTTTTAAAAAGGCAATTTCATTTCAGAAATATCCTAGCGAAACAATGTCTGAATTATATTATGGTGAAATTAAAGGGCAGCTGATAGAATAAGAGGAACGTTTTAGTTAGCCAATAATAAAACTACTTCCAAATAAAATGGTCTTAATTTCTCATATCTGAAAAGATGTTGGCAGACTGCTACAGCTCCATTGTAAAACCAAAACACTGCAAAAAGTCCTAAATTCATTTCCTTCTTTTTGAATAATTTTATTAAAAGTATTTTTGAAAGAAGATTTAAAAACTAATACAGGTAGTCCTCGAGTTATGACCCCAATTGAGTCCAACATTTATGTTGCTAAGTGAAACATTTATTAAGTGAGTTTGCCCCATTTTGCAACTTTTTCTTGCCATAGTTGTTAAGTGAATCATGGCAGTTAAGTTAGTTATATGGTTGTTAAGTGAACCCGGATTCCCCATATGATCCCCACTGGTCGCAAAAGGGGATCACATGACCCCAGGACACAGCAACCGTCATAAATGCGAATCAGTTGCCGAGTATATGAATTTTGATCATGTGCCCATGGGGATGCTACAGCGGTCGTAAGTGTAAGAAACAGTCATAAGTCACTTTTTTCAGTGCCGTTGTAGCTTTGCATAGTCACTAAATGAACTGTGGTAAGTTGTGGACTATCTGTACAGGGCTAATAAAAAGAAATTTCTTTCTTTTTATCAGCCTGTACAAGTAGTCCCCAACTTACAAAGAGAAAGTTAAAAGTGAAATGAAGGAAGGGAGGAAGGGTTAATAAAATATAAAGAAGAGGCTTCTTTATGTATTTTTAAAATTATTATTCTAAATTCCTTATCTTTCTAACTAAAAACCGAGAGATATTTCAAATTGAAACCCTGAAATACCATTCATGGTAATGCTGACAGCATTAGGCTAGAATGGATCAAAGGTCTGGCAAGGCATCTTTCTAAATTTCTTCGTCATGCCTTTCAGCTGCCCATGGAAATAGTTCTGCAGAAACTTTTCATATTGGGTGGCATGCAGATAAAGCAAATAAGTAAATAAATGAATGAATGCCCCCATCCTTATAACCCACATAACTGGGGTTGCCAAAACTTCTAAAGAAGTTTCGTCTGGTGAATAAAAAAACAACAACGTAGCATAGGGAAGACTACTTTGGTTTACTACTGAAGTTGCAGGAGATAAGGAGACCTTCCCATAATAGAAGAAATGCCTGGAGCAGCTATGTCCTTTGTAAAGTGTTGCTATGTTTGCAGGCTGGAGGGAGAGAGAGAACCTCAGATTAACCATCTTTTGAGATAACATGTCATGACTCAGTCAAGGAACAGTACCCACAATTACATTTTAGGCCTAATACTGTAGGAGGCTGTTCTTGCCTGTAGCATCTTTAAATTATCTATTTAAGGATGTCATATGTATGAACTTTGTAAATACTACTCACATTGAGGAAGAACTTGTGGCAATCAGTCAGTCTGCAAAAGCAGAGTGCATTTCGTCTAGTCAGCCCAAAAACACTTGCAATTTTGTTATTAATATTTTTAATCAAGCTTTTCCCATTCGCGTTACCCCACTTATGCCCAGGTCCCTTGTCATCACCCACAATATGACTTTGAATTTTAGGAAGAGCCCTTCTATTCTATCACCTCTTATTATGTTCGACTGCACAGTATCAGCAGTGGGGTCCTTCCAAGTTTTGGGGTCCTATAATCTCTCAGGACTTGAAATGGATACCTAATGTTAGAACGATCATCAAAAAGGGACAAAAAAGAATGTTCTTCCTGAGTCAATTTAGGTAGTTTAGACTGCCTCAGGAGCTGTTGATAAAGTTCTGCAGAGAATTATTGAGTCTGTCATTTGTACTTCTATAACTGTCTGGTTTGGTACAGCAACCAAACAGGACAAGTACAGACTTCAACAGATAGTTAGGACTGCAGAAAGAACAATTGCAACCAGCCTGCCTTCCATTGAGGACGTGTATACTCCATGAGTCAGAAGGACAGCTGAGAAAATATCTACAAACCCCTCACATCCTGAACATAAACTACTTCAACTCTTCTATAGGCCATTGCATGCTAAAACAACTAGACACAGGGACAGTCCCCCCCCCCCGTGCTATCATTCTGCAGAACACCTAATCCTCACAGCATTGTCTTATGTCTGAGTGTATTTACCCATGTTATATGACTATGGTATTATTATCCTTCTCATCTTCTCTACTACCCCTTCTTATTGGTATCATTGCTATGATTATTATTGCTCTGTTGCTTTGCCATGTACATTGAGAACCTTTGCACAGGAAACAATTTCCTTGTGTATCTAATCACACTTGGCCAAATAAAGCTATTCTATTCTATTCTATTCTATTCTATTCTATTCTATTCTATTCTATTCTATTCTATTCTATTCTATTCTATTCTATATGCAGTCCATAAAAATTATGGATTTTATTGATGGATTTTCTTATTTGCAGATGGATGTCATTGTACACAAAATAGCTGGTTTTTTAACTCAGAGAACCCCCTTATTGTAGGTCACAGTTATGTCAGATTGGGCACGCCTTGATACAGAGTTTGACTAGCATGGGTAAAGATAAGGAATTAAGTTGTTTTGAAGTAAATTCTTCAACAGTCACAAAACCTGATATTCCCTCCAGCTTTGTACTGTATGTTCTGACCTAGCAGTAATTTTCTAAGGTCTCAACATTAACCCTGAGTTTTTTTTAACTGGGCAAACTTGGGAATGAACCTTCAAAGCAAACTGAATACTGTGTGTAATGCTTTTCCCATAAAAGGAGAAGCATGCTCTTGCTCCTGGAAATAGGGTTATGATACTGTACTGCCACAGCATTTCAGGACAAACAGTGTAGCAGAAATGGCAAAACCTGTGCTTGCTGTGCTGTTATCCCACTTTGCCATGTATTCAGTCTGCAAATATAATAGTCTGAGCTCAGCCATCCAGCCGTTTAAAAATACCCATGTGGGTAGAATTGTAGTGTTTTATAATCAGTGAGCCTTTGGAAACAAACTCTTCCAGTTTTCTAGGACATCATTTATGTACCGTTTTTTTAAAAACCAGAATTATTAGCATTTTAACCAATTCTGCTAAGCCTCTGGCTTGGGGTTTGAAACTTTTTTTGCTGCCAAAGCCAACTGCAGGAAACCATTGGAGCCTTTGAACAAATTTGATGGCTTGCACTTCCTCAAAGGAAGGGCTGAAGAACGCAAGAGCCTCATGAGCTGAATTGTTTTATAACCTTAACAAGTAAACATGTCAATGAGAGATCCACATTGATCCGATCTCATAAAAATATTAGCAAAGCAAAGAGAAGATTTAAAGATGAGGATTCAGATGAGGAATCATATACTGGAAAAAATAATTCATCCCCTTGTTTGTGCCAATAAAAACTCCCCCCCTTTTTTTTTAGATAGATGCCACATGAGACTTTTAATGCAGAAACTTCTGCATTCTGTGGAATGCAGAAAAATAGAAAAGGCAGAGATACAGGGATTTTGTGATAAACAAGAGATAAGTAGTTGCTGGCAAAATTGGAGCAGAAAGAGAAGTGGTACTGGAGAGAGAAAAAGGATGAACAGAGAATTTGGGGGTGTGGTATCTCCTGAGGATGAAGGAACCAAAGCAGAAGGAGGGCAACTAGGTGAGGTTGAACTTAGAAATGGCAGAAAATGGACTAACTAGAAAATACAGAGTTAAAATTTTAGCAAACTCTTTTACCCAGTTATACAGTAAGGCCCCTTTTGACCTAATTCATGTTTAAAAGTGGTTTGGATGATTTGTATTTGCACTCAACATTAACTTCCTCTCTATCCTTTAGAATTGAACTTGGTCATTAACTGGGGAGCCTGGCCAGCTTCCAGGGATTCCTGACCTTTTGAATCTCCTTCCACAGCTACAGGAGGGAAGAGGGATGTAGGAAAATTGTATGGGAACTTGAAAGTTTGTTTTATAAATATGCAAGGAAGTTTTACATTTGAACTTGGCTTTTATGCTTTCTTTGTTTTTCTTCTCTGTGCAGCCATCCACTGAGGAGAGCCCTGCAAAACATGTAGATACCCCGGTAAGTTTCTCTCTTTTAGAGTTTATAGTGATTGACACAACATCTCTTCTGTTCCATGTCAAGTAGTTCCCCATCTAATTCTCTGCAATGACATGAGTCTTTCTGGCTATGAGAGCTGCCCAAATCCCTGGTTCGTACAGCTATTTCAGCCTTTCCTTTGTGTTATCATGTTTCTAACCCATTTAGCAACAAAACTGCATCTTATTTTCCAGCTGAACTGAACGATGATGCTGGAGATTGTCCCTAAGGCCTGTCAACAATAGTGCAGCTCTTTGGTCTAGCATCAGGAGTGAAACATTAGTGCTAAACAATTTGCAAATGATATGACTTAGGAAATGGCAAATGATATGACTTAGGAAATGGTTTTCCAAACATTGCATTAAAGTCAGCTTAATTGAATCCATCTTAATTTATTTACATTTTCACTGTACTCTGCCTTGCTTTTCCACTCTTAGGAAATGGAAGATGGAAATAGATAACAAAGCAAAAGCAAAACATAAAACAGTTAAAATCTGGTTAAAACAGCAATTAAAATCATCATTAATTTGATGCATTATATCACTTAATTAACTCAAATGAAATCATCTTTCATTTAGTCTGTAAGTCCAAGCTGAAGGGAAAGGTTTTGCCTTCTTAAAGACAGAGAAATTGGGGAATAAGCTTAACTCCCGAGGGAACTGTTCTTAGCCTGGGAAGAATACAAGGGAAATACAGCTAACACAATTTAAGCCCATTTCCAATCTCTCCTAACTGTACTTAAGATTCAGTATATATAACTTTACTTAAAATTATTACATGCTGAGTTTATTAACAGTTACGTTCAGAATTGCGTTTCTCATTTTTCCAAAAAATGATTTGGAAAATAGTATCCTGGATCTTGCATAAACCAGAGTTTTTCACTTCTCTGTTCTTCATTAAAGCAGGCTATTTTTTCAGGCTTTCAGACACAACTTTTTCTTTGTTTGGCACAGAAACATGAAAAATTATGGGCTGCTTTTATGAAGAGTAGAGAGGTGCTGGGCTCAGGCTTATTTTGAAGTATGAACAGTCCTAATTTATTTAGTGAATGTATCATAAATCCAATGCAGTGGTCTTTCATTGAAACAGACTAGAACTGAAACAGACTAGAACTATTTAGAACTCAAGTTCTAAATAGAAAATGCAACATTGTTTTTCCAATGACAGTGCAATAAAAACATCCTCACATATTCTGAACATAATGTTCACTGATTTGGGAACAAATTTAAGAAACTCAGTATTAAGAGCCACATAAAACACTTACAAAGAAACCAGAAGTCAAATACACTGGCCCCCTAGGTCTTACATGAAGCATATAGTCACTCTGTTACTGCAAGAAAAGAAAGCTGTTAATAACAGAATAACAGCGTTGGAAGGGGTCTAGGAGGTCTTCTAGTCCAACTCTCTGCTCAAGCAGGAGACCTTATACCATTTTGAACAAACGACTGTCCAATCTCTTCCTAAAACTTCAGTGATGGAGGACCAACAACTTCTGGAGGTAAGCCATTCTACTGATTAATTGTTCTCACTGTCAGGAAATTTGTTCTAGAAATTAGTTCTAGATTGGATCTTTCCTTGATAAGTTTCTGTCTGTTACTTCTTGTCCTGCGTTTGAGTGCTTTGAGGAATTGGATACCCCCCTCTTCTTTGTGACAGCCTCTAAATATTGGAAGACTGCTATTGTGTCATCCCTAGTCTTTCTCTTCATTAGACTAGACATACCTAGTACTTAAAACCTTTCTTCAAATGTTTTAGCTTCCAATTCCTTCATCATCTTTGTTGATCTTTCTAGAATCTTAGCACCTTTTTTGTATCACTGTAACAAAAACTGGATGCAGTATCCCTAATATAGTCTTACCAGTGGGGTATAAAGCAGTATTACCACTTCTCATGATCTTGATTCAGCCCCTGTTGATGCATTGGGTTTTTTTGGTAGCTCCAACACACTGTTGGCTCATATTTAAGTAATTGCCCAATAGGACTACTAGATCCCTCTCACAGTTACTGCTATTGCAATAGTACTGAATTGATTTTTTTTTGCTTCATAATATTATTCAGTTCAGAATTCTGAAAGTGCTTATTGGTTGATTATGTACCATCAAGTCATTTTCAACTTTTTAGCAATCACATTTTTCATTCTACATTTGATAAATATCAACCTTATGAAAGTCACTGTCCAAATACATTGAAAAATAGTTCCCTAGGCACTTAGCAGCTAGCTAAAAGCTCCTCTGGGTGGTCTAGTTGGTTGTCGCTGTGATAACTGGTAAGGAATGGAAATTCACCAAGGTATCTTTTATAACTAGATAAGTAGAAGAAACATTTTTTTCTAGTTACAGAATTAGCCAGTACAATCTGTGATTTCCTGCTTTAAAGAAGGAAATATGAAAAGAGAAAAAGCTCAGTCTTTTGAAATATAACATCTGGACCCGCTCTGAGAAGATGGAAATTTCTTGAGAGTCAAGGAGTGTCTGGAAACAAAACTGTTTTTCTTTGAGAAGAAATGAAAAACATCTTGCCCTAAGCCCAATGTCCTCCTTCAAGGACTAGAGTATGAAAAGGCATTCTCTGGGAGAAGAGCCATCCATCGGTTTGCCTGAGAAAAAGTATTCATTTATGTAGAAAATTTATACAGCTGCTTATCGTAAATACATAATTCTGGGCAGTGAATATTCCATACAAAATGATATTAAAAAAATAATTCAACCCCATAAACAGTTTAAAGTACTCCAACATAAGAAAAAAAACATTCAGGGCAATATATAGCAATTTGATAAAAATAAAGACCTGTATACAGGTAGCCTTTCATTCAACAATTTATGAATGAAGTTCAACGTTTGAAGTTAGGACAATGCTGAAAAAGGAGACTTATCACCTTGAGGGCCTGGTTGCCCCAGCACTCCTGCAGTCATGTGATTGCGACCTGGGGGCTTGGCCACCTCCTTGCACTCATGGTCCCCATTTGCGACCTCCCCTGTCCAATTCTCACAAGCAAAGTCAATTGGGACACTGGCTGGGAAGTTTGCAAGTCCCTCTGATAGTCTCTCCCACCCTCCCCTGCCCGGCCCTGCCTTGCCCTACCTTACCTGCCTGCTGGATTGCTTGCAAGCTGCCTGGGACTTGCTTAATGATCCACAATCCTCATCTAACAGGAGCGATGGGGAGTGCAGGATTGCTTTTGCTAAGTGATGTGCTCATGTGACCTCTCACTTTATGACTGTATTACTTAGCAGTGGAAATTCTGGTCCCAATTACCATAGTTAACCGAGGACTACTTGTATTTGGTCCCTTAACATCCTGACTAATGCTTGCCAGATTTTAGCAGCTTTCCAGAAGTCCAGGAGGGTTGTGAGTGTGACTTAGACCTTCACCTAAAGGTTGCTCAGATTGTTAGCTTAGGCTAGTAGAGCTCTTGCATTACTGCTGAATGTTCTTGTGGGATGTTCTGTTTTGCCACTACAGATAAGCATATCTAATCGGTTGCAGTTGTCTTGGTATCACAGGGCCTTTGATTGCATTGCTTGGGGAGGGAGGAGATGAGCTGGCTGCTACTGCTCATGAGATTCCTTTTTTTTCTTTTCTTGGCAACCTATCCAAACCTTTAACAATTGAAGAAGCTAAAATGAAATCATGTGGATATGAACTGAGCAGGGCTTCTGTGTGCTCTGGAAAATAAGAATTCTGTGGCACTGACTCTTTTATATATTAGATATGCAACCTAATATAAACATCAACAGAAACTCCTCCATAAGTTTGTTGTCATCAGCATCTCTGGTCTATTAGCAGAATCTTTGAAGAGCACTGTTCTAATTTGACATGTGATAGTTAATGTTGTTCATTTGGCTGGTCAACAACAGAGTCTCATCTGTTTTTAATTTCTATTCAGTGTGGTTGATGTATGAATTCTCAGGCAGTGTGTTAGAGTCTCAGGCAGTGTGTTAGAGTCTCCTCGTAAGGAAAGCACCAGTAATGGACTGTTTTCTCCAAAAAAAAAAAAAAAAGCTTTGGACTACTCATATTTACCTGTAACTGTAGTGGCTTTAGTCTAGGACAGGGGTAGGCAACCTCGGCTCTTTTATGACTCATGGACTTCAACTTCCAGAATTCCTGAGTCAGCTATGCTGGGAGTTGAAGTCCATGAGTCATAAAAGAGCCGAGATTGTCTACCCCTGGTCTAGGAAGTATCTTGTAAGTACCTGGAAAAAGGAGACTGCCCTTCCCGCTTCTCTAGTTGCACCCCTTAGTAATTCTTGATAAAGTGTTGAGTAGGCAGAACCATCCGGAATTTTGGTCAGATATCTCTGTCAGCAGAAAAAAATACCAGTGATCCAATGAAAACAGCATATTTTATCTCCATTACTTTGAAGTGAAAGTAGAACATAGCCAAGGCAAGCCAGTTTAGTCTGATACTTGGGCAGATAATCCTACAGCTTCCGTTACTTGCCTCAATATATTTTTGTTCTTTTATTAATTATAACATGCTTTGGGCCATGAGATAAGACATCATATTTAAGAGTAAAATCAAAGTTATTAAAACAGTATAACACAGGGATGAAAAAAATGAATCTCGTCACCTTTCAAATGGATTAAGTACACTTAATAACTCACCCTTAATTATGATCCTATTTCTATTATAAATCAGACCTTTGAAGTTACTAACCTGCATAAATACTTTACTAATCCATTTTTCCTCAAAAAAGGGCCCTTGGCCCACTAGAGAGAATTGAAATTGCTCTATTTCTACTTTCCAGCTAGTTTCCTGCATTGACAAGAAGTATGAATCTTCCCACTATGACCAACACAGAACCTTGATGTTTGTTGAAAGAAGGGCTGAAGCTCCATTTAGCTTCTTCAAAATTCCTGTATGGAATTTGGTATCACCTATAGAGACTAAGCAGTTGCAATACTAACAGACTGTCCTTTAAAAAAATGTATACAGAATTCCAAAAATAATAATTGTATAAAACAATTATTAGTGGATG